AGGTTTTTTATATGCATTCTTCTGAGAGTGAAAACTCACTGAATTTGGAGTACTTTTTAAGTTGGCCCACACATGGCTGTGTGGCAAAAATGGAAAATGTGCCGAATTGGCGCGACGATTATTTCTCGGTCTAAATTATTTTTTAAAAATGTTCTAATATTTTTCCTAGAAAGAACACAACCTCATATATGGATTCTCAAAATTTCAGATTTTTCTGCAGGTTCCTCCGAGCACAGAAAATCGCCAAAGGTGCCTCTTGCAAAACGCCTATTTCGTTGTGCCTGACCTCCCTGTTTTGAGAAGACGGGCCTCAACGCCCAGGCCTGAGGGCCCTTACCCCACCCCCACTTCTTTTTGGGGTCCAATTCCACCCGAGGACCGGTCCTTCCTTTTTCCAAAAGTCCCGGTTCTACCAGAGCTAGCTGTAGGTAGTCCGCAATTTTGGCAAGGACCGGTTCCCAAATTTTTTTGCGCCCTAAGAACCCACTTTGGGTCCTGGTCGCCCTCCGCCAGAAATGCGACACCTTGTCACAGACACCGAACCCCAGTAGACCGCAGCCTTAGGGCTGCGAATACCTGACATACCACGACCAAAAACAAAGGGAAAAAAAAAAGGAAAAGAAAAAAAAAAAAAGAAGGGAAAAAAAGAAAAAAAGAAAAGAAGTAGGATAGGGCATGTTCAAGTACCCGTAGGGTTTTTTGGTGCGTTTCGTAATATTTCTTTGACAAAAAAATAAATTAAGTAAATCATAGTTTTTTAATGTCAAGAATGGCAGGAAGTAAATAAAGTAGCCATTGGCCAACCAATAAAGTGACTTTAAACAAATAATAATAGGGTATATGGTACCCCTTTTTATGCGTGAAAATTCAGACAAATGATGAGGGCCTTTTTTTTTTTTTTTTGCTTAATACGAATGAGGCGCTTTTCGTCATTAGCCGACCAGATACGATTTTTTTTTTTTTTTTTTTTTCCAGACATCTGCCCTGATAGCTCACGGGCAGGAAAATAAAATAATGCCGTATAATACGGTAATAAGAAATAGGGAAAAAAAAAAAAAAAATTCTGTTCGCCTAATTACGAAAATATACCTGTGGCCCACCGACGAAAAGTTCTCTTTTTTTTTGTGTGAATTTGGACCCGATCGAGTCCCAAAAAAAGTCATACATATAATACCCAGTCCCCAAAAAAATGAAGAAAAAAAAAAAAGCGCCACTTGCAATTTTCTGACATATGCGCCCCTCGTGACCAAAAAGCCGCCGCAATTTTATTCCGTAATATAATATTAATAGATCTAAGAAGGGGGGGGGGGGGGGGGGGGG